TGGTAAAACCCTGTTTGCAGGNTATGGTTTTTATAGTAATCAAGAATGTGCCATAAACATAATTAAGTTCTTTAAAGTTTATTAATTAATTAAGTACTCTACTTTTTGTATAGCACGCAATTATTAGGTATCTCATTTGGTGCAAGATTAAATTAGTTAAAATGTTGCCGCAGTCCATTATGATTGAAACAACTTATGTATAATTACTCTTTCAAAGCCAACCGTCTCTTTAAGAAAAATTGCCCATTTAATTAAGAAACGTTTCCACTTTTGCGTTACATTCGAAGCATACATCGATTTTCCGTCTATAACAAGCGCTTCGAGCGCCTGTAGTGCTCGTTAAAATTTATCAGCTTATGACAGGAAATTACTTTTTACTTCCTCCTTTCGTTCTCACAAAACTTAATCGATTTAATCAATTATTTGTATAATATAAGTGCATATATTTTTGTCTGTACACAATTGGCTTTATCTAATCTCTAGTATAATGTTTGATATAATGGATAAATTTATTGCATGATTAGATGCAATTCCCATTCGATATACATATTTGAATCACCTATGTTTTTTCTTCTTAACCTTACTTTTGATCAATGCAACTAGCAATTTAATTAAAACAATAAATGCAATTTAAAGCTTCCAAGGGGTATTACGCTTTATAAAATACCACAAATGGCGCGGTAAACGCCATCTGTAGTACAATGCTACATTTTAGGACTACGTATTCTCAACAAAGTCCATTTAAATACATGGATATCTACTTGTTGAAACGAAATCCCGGCGTAGCTCACCACTACGTGACAGACACGTTACCATAATCGAATAAAATAATTCGAACTGGTCTGTGTTCTGTCGAAACTGCCAGACGCGGATCACGATTTCGATTTTGTTGGATCTCATCAGCGCGTCGTAGACAGTTTCGACAGAACACAGACCAATTTTACCTGCTGTCTTAACAGCACGTTTTATAAAATACTACAAATTGCGCGGTAAACGCCATCTGTAGTACAATGCTACATTTATGGATTACGAATTCTTAACAAGGTCCATTTAAATACATGGATATCTACTTGTTGAAACGAAATCCCGGCGTAGCTCACCACTACGTGATAGGCACGTTACCATAATCGAATAAAATAACTCGAAGTGGTCTGTGCTGTCTGTCTGTGGGTATGTAAAGATTGAAGTTCCGTAGAGTGTGATCTTCAAGTCATCAATTTTTTTTGACATTCTGGTGTCTATTACAATGAAACTTCATCTTCTGTAAGTTTCTGTAATGGTCGGGGTATATCGGCAAATCCTGGCATGAATTTTCCGTAGTAAGAATAAAGTACCACAAAAGTTTGTGACTATCTTTTGGTATGGGTGCTTGTGTGATGAGCTCTGATGTTTCGATGTTGATATGGTGGTATGTTAAATTAGTCCTACAGAAGTCTTGATTTGAGATGGCGAAGACATGTTAAAAACGGCTAGGAAGTTCTTTGAAATGCTTGACTTGTTGCTTGTTGAGGTGTTTACTTGACAGTTTCACCAGTTTTGTTTAAAGGAAGGATGTTGGTTTAGTCTCAGGTTTTTCTTCTCAGTCACGGTTGTAAGAAAATACTACAAACGGCACAGTGAACGCCATCTGTATCACGATGCTACATTTTAGGATTACTGACCACTTCGAATTATTTTATTCACGGTTGTAAGTTTCAGCTACTGGTTCAAATACTCCTAACTCTGTACCTTTGCAGATCTTTAACTGAAGGTCTGTCAAATTAGCTATTTTAACAAATAGCGATGATGCTTCCACGTCGGACTCAAATTGTTGAAGAGTCTTATTACTTCAGTGGCTACGGCTCTTCAGTTGCGTCTGATACCTATACATATTGTAGATTTTTATCTCCGTATCTCATTTCTAATCGGTTGACAAAATGGTAGAAGTCATACTGTTCAGACTCGAGCCTCTCCTCGTAAAGAAAAGGTTAGTGCTATTGTTTTTTCTAAATTGGTCCATATGTTTGCTTCTACCGCTGCTCCGAACTTATTTAGGCGAACAGATCGCGAGATTATCCCTTTTTTCTGCCTTCTTTTTCATACTGATTTCCATCTTCTATTTTTTCTTTCCAAATTGATTTTTCGTTCTTCTGTCACCTCATCCGTATAACTTCTAATGTCACTTATCTGGTCCTTCATTCTCAAATTTATTACTTTCTGTACTGATTCCGTTTTATTTTTTCTTGAGCGGCTTTCATTTCTTTTTTCATTTTTAAATGTCACCTAATCAAACACCTTTCTCACTACTGACTAATTATTTAATTATTTACTCTAATTAACACCACTATTATTAATTAAATTCTTTTTAACTAGTACATCACATACCTTATAACTTCTTAAGTCTTCTGTTTTGCTTTGGATCGCTTCATCCCTCAAACTAACCCTTCCGTCCTCGCGACAACTAATTATAGGGGTTTTGAATTGTTCACAATGAGACATCTAGAAAATCTCGTCTTCTTTGCAACTGTGTATGTTGGGCTGCCTTTCGATAATCGGAAAGTGTATAGTTTCGTTTGTTTTGGGGTTAAAGTTTTATTGCAATCGTCGTTTTATTCATAAATTATGAAATATGTTCATACTGATGGACAGTTTAAACCTTGTATGAGTTAATACAAGTGACATATTTGATTAAGAAAATATAATATAATGAAAACTGTAGTTTGTTATGCATTTCCGGTATCTACCAGGGCAGCCCAGTTTCTTATTTCTGAAAATAATTTTTGATTTTAAAACTCAAAAATCTGGAACGCTTTTATATACTAAAAAAATAGTGCAAAATCAAAGCCAAGATAGGAAGAAAAGGCGTTTATTTCTTTAACGAACACCAAAATTATTCCCTTTAAAGTAACAGCTTTATCTCAGGACAGGTTTTTGGATTAGTAATAATTCAATACATAATTAAAAACCAGGTGGAAAAACAATAAAATTGTGTTGACCGAATTAATGTTTTAATATCATGTAGTGTCTGTAACGGTAACATACCTGCTAAAGTAGGAGGGCGGTTTTATCATTACATCAAGATGTTGTGTAAAAACAAAAATAATTGTGTGGTTTTATGAAACAACGATACAAGTGAAACTTTTCGGATTGTAGGCTTTTAACTGTTAATTTTCGGAAAATTATTCGATTTAGGGTATTAAAATTAAAATTGCGTTCTTAATCTTATTTTAATGATTGGAAAATGGCAATGATAATGGGAAATCAATAGTAGACAAGATATCCAACTGTAAATTTTAATTTCAATCTGCGTATGAGAGTACGGAGTACATAATAAATTCAGATGTTAAAAACTGCGAACAATATTTACTTAAATCATTGAATCACTTTGAACTTCAGTTATTTTAAAAATATTTTCATCTTCGCTTTGAGTTTCACAGTCTATAAATGTAATTGTCATTCACTTGCACGAATGAGTGAGAATATTAATGCTACACGGTTAGCTGCGAGCCATGGGCACCGCCATATTGGTCTTGGCTGCTCCACCGAGCGCCTTTAATGTTTACTTCTACTCCTCGGCCGGCTGTAAGCAACATGCAATAAATGGGCGAAAAAATTTGAGGTGTAATAAAAGTTTCACTTTAAAACTTCTAACATATGTATGTATTTCGTAAACGGGTACTTGCTCATAATATATAGTAAGAGGGAGGGAGAAGTCTATTAACACATTCGATTTTAGACGTTGCCAGATCAAAGGAATTAAGAATCAAATTTATAGGGAAAATCGGATATAATTTATAATGTAATTTAATTTGTGTACTAAATGAATTCATGTTGTCTACAATTTACCTGCACATTGGAAATTTCTTTAAATGTTTGTGAATAAATAAAGGAAGGTCTTCCTTTTTTAAATTAAATGATATTTTTTTATTTAAATATCACCAAAGAATCTCCAGGGTAATACAAAGAAATTTCAGTGTAAAATCTAGGGAACAAAAAAATATTTGGCAACATTGATTTTTTGCTGTAGAAACGTGCGATAGGAACTTCCGAAAATAAAATTATTATTAACTGCAAATGATACCCATTTCTGAAGGAGTTTCGGTGAGAATTACATCCAGAACCACACTAATGGACCATTTTAAGTATATATGTGGGTATTGAAATATATCCGTGAGCAGTTTCGTATTGGCAATATATTCTGAGTGATTCAGAGGCTTCTTCCACCAGTGTGTATCAGCATATAACGTTTTTGAGAGCAAACTTTTATCCAGAGGCAATTTCCATACTACTGAAAGCCGGTCGTCTGAACTTTATAACGGTTAACATTTGACATCGATTTTATTGAAGGGATCCTTCTTCTCGAGACGAGCTTTTTCGCCAACTAACACGATATGAAAAATTGAATTTCAAATATCTCCGATAAAGAATGTTACATAGATAACTGACGTGATTTTTGTTGGTTGTGTAGGTAACTTCGATCAATTCCCATTAATATTGTTTCAAAAGGTACACGGATAATTTTTGTTACTAACAATATGATTATTTTCATGTCATATACATAGCTTTACGTAACCAGCAGCACTTACAAAAATGCGCTTTTTTTACAGTTAATTCTATTGGTTCTTCTCAAACGGTTAATTATGACTATTTATATTAATTACCTATTCGAATATAAATTTTTAATTAAAGGAATTTAGATGAAAACATTATTACTTAAATGCTTTATGGCTATTTTCTATAAAGAGGATTATATGGGTAAATAAAGTAAACCAAGTCAAAAAACATACAATTTTCGAAATAAAGTTTATTTAGATCTAAAACTTTATTTTAAGATTATTTCATCATGATCAGGCAAACAAAACAGAAAACTTTTGTAGTGTTTAATACAAACAGCATATATAAGAGTTCGTAGATACATTGCACTTCATTGTTTATCATGATTTATAACAGGTAATGAATATCTGCAAATGCAACGAAATAATAATAAGACGATTAATTGGAATTTGAATCACAATAATAACTACAAATAACATAATCTTTTATTGTAACACATTTAATTGATTATCCTTTTTACAAACATGGTTCAAAAATAAAAAAATCATTTCTTTGAATATCACTGCTCCTGTTATCGAACGACAAAAGCATTCTTTATGGAATAGCTTAAATATCAGTATTTGTTTAGCAACTGAATAACAAGTTGTTCTTCCTCCTCCCAATTACACTTTATCACTGTTAAGGGGTTCCAATTGACCTTCTTCTTTTTTATCGACAACCTTTTTTCTTCGGAAGCATGTAGTGAAGCAAGTGTCATTTTTACCAAACTCTTCTCCATCTTGTATGCTCTCAGGCATTGGCGCCCCCATAGTTTCAGGTAAAAAGAGGGTAAGCGCGCCTGAAATCAAGGCTATAACTGCGAATACAATGGCTGGAAGAGTGGGATCGAAAGAATCAAGAAGGGTCACAAGAGGAGTTAATGTACCAGAAAGCCTGGCGCACATAGATCCGAGACCTAATGCAGAATTTCGTATTACAGTCGGAAAAAGTTCTGCGGAATAATTATAAACTATTGCGAAAGAACTGGAAATGAGAAATTTTCCAATCATAGCGGCCGAAATAGCCCCTACAGTAGCAGGAGTCAGTTTCGCAGCTGTTATACAGCAAATACCACCAGTAATCATATAGAAGGCTATGAGTGGCCTTCGACCAGCTCTATCCATTATAGTTATTAATAGAACATAACATGGCAGTTCTACAAGTCCAGAAAGGAATAACATAAGGAATGGATTTCCTTCAAGTTTCCCAGTACTAAGAGAAAGACCATAGTAGGCCAGAGAATTTGCAAACCAGCATAAACAAATATTTAGTGTTTTCTTCCGAAGATTCGGTGTGCGGAATAAATCAGAAATACCTCCTGAAGATATATCACTTTCTTCCGAAACGTTTTCAACTCTAGGTGGTGCTTCATAGTCAGCTTCGTCTAAATGTATCGCACTCCCGTTTATTTTAAGGCCTTTCTTAATAATAATTACTGCCTCTTTTGTTCGACCCTGCATCCATAACCATCTGGGAGATTCGTCCATAAGCCACCAGTGACCAATCAGTAGAAGTGTATGAAGACCATAGATGACTTGAAGTATTTGTCTGTCTTTTATTAGCGCACCCCAACCAGCAACCATCATTATACCAATTGCGAATGTGAATTGGAAGAAAACTCCGCATGCAGTTCGTTTTGACGGACCTACGAGTTCCATGGTAAGAACGAAGCCGGTAATATAACTACCTGCAGATCCGAAAATGCCGTAGAAGTATCTTAATACGAGAAAAGCGTAATAGTTAGAAATAAAGGCAACTGAAACACTGAAGATGAGGGTGAGAACAGCAGAAATGCAAAATATAGTCTTCCTCCCATATTTGTCAGCCATATTTCCAAGGACAACAGCTCCCGTAAATACACCGAACATATACACAGACTGAGCGACAGCTCCCATCCATCTTCTATGACACACAAAGTCCCATTCCGTTGCTCTCGATGACGGGTGGTATGTGGGATCGTAGATCCAGGCATTACATAACATTGATTCGTTTCTTTCGTTGTAAATGTGACATGTATCGAACTCTCCTGTGGGAAGCCTAGGAATGTAGAGAGCTAGGTCGACATTTGTTATGTTCCAAATTGAATCATTTGCATCTAATTCTGGGATAAAACATCTGAAATAGAAGGTGAAAGTTAAACGGTGAACGGTTGGTAACTATTTAAATCCTTAAAATATTCTCTTGTTAAATCATAAGCCGTAAACTAAACAGCCACTTACGGTACCTACGTCTACATATAAAGATTTGGCAGCAAAACTAAAGCCTGTAGTTCATTTAATATAATAGACCAATTTTAAAAAGCGGTATTCAAAAGAATATAATTAAATGGGTGGAAAAAAAGAATGTAAAATGTAAATTATTTACCTGTGATCAGGTACAGCAGCCACGGTTACCAGAGTTAACATATGAAGTCCAGCACATAATGCAGATAATACGTGAAGGATATACTGAAAGATCTGGTATTTGCCAAATTCACCTGAAAGAAGGAATGAAATAAATTCAAAATTAGGAACTACAAGTATGGACTTTATTAGTTTATTTATGTGGTGTAGATAAAGTAGTTTATTCATTATCTAAAGAATAATACACTTTTATTCCAAGTCTCTTAACATATTTATAAGTATAATGTTTATATGTATAATGATTACTTTTAGTTATTTCCATACGAATTGATTACCTGTTGATATATCCTTAACTTGTAATATTGCAGCAGTGCTGATTACATATTCAAATGGATGCTTCAATTATCGTAAAAAACGAGGCAATAAATTCTAAACTTACTTAAGCTGTATATAAAACTAACAATAATAGCGCGAAACTAAGATCAAGACTAAAGGTTACTATCGTCTCGATCATTACCTTTTCGAGTTTCACTGAACTGATGTGTATGATGACTTATATTTTAAGTATGAAGACAACGGAACATCGAAACTGGTATGTGAATTAGGGAACGCGTCAACCATACTACTAAAAATGGTTGAATTGGTAGAATTTAAGTGAAAAGTAGTAGATTTATTAAAAGGTAAAACTGTAGTGTGTTCGAAACATACATTAAAGTAAAATTAACGTTTTACTTTCTGTAGATTAACTCAAATTATTGGGAAAAAATTGTTGCAAATGTCATACTCTCATCAGGAATCGTATCCGGGTTTTCTGCTTTACAATGACGAAGCGTACATCTAAACTGTCACAAGTATCGTCGTGGCAGCAGCAACAATTTTTTTTTTAAATTAATTTGAGTTAACTGTTAACCTGCAGTTGCTAGAAATTTATTTTTACTTACATGTATCAAAAAGTATCAGAAAATGTGTTTAATTATGCAAATTTCAAAGGGCGTCTTTATAAAAAAATAATAAAAATCGTAATTTTCACAATTTTTATTTTTACCATACTTAATTGTTTTGTTATTTTGCTAACACAGTATTTTTTTTGTGTAGTTACGCTAAATATTATAAATATGTAAAATATCATTACATAGCGACTATGATATACATATAGACACTAAAATTCCTTGACAAAGTGTTTCGCACTACTAATACAATTTGTTATCAAACGGTTAGCAGTTAATGCACTACAAATACCATTAATTATATTAACACATTAACCTAATGAAGATAAAGAAATAAAGCTAGAGGAAATAGAAAAAGCAATAAGGAAGCTGAAAAAGAAAAAGGCGGCTGGAGAAGATAAAATCACAAATGAAGCCTGGATATATGGTGGAAGGGATTACAAGAGAACTTGCAAGGATGCTAAATAAAATATGGAATGGAGATGAAGATCTGCCTGATGAGGAATGGAAAATGGGAATAATAAAACCAATTTTCAAGAAAGGAGATAGACATACACCGGAAAACTACAGAGGAATAGCTCTTATGAGCTTTAGAACTTTTTATTATTTTGCTAATTTGTTACCTCCGCCCATTTTCAAGATGTAGTGGATATAACATACTACCATTATATCAAGATAGCGTACGCGTTATTGGATCTCTATTGATAACTAAGTCTAAATCTAATTTATTGTTCTTTAATGGTATATTAGCATTCGAGTCAAACGGAAGTTTTTCGAAATGTAAAATACCTATAACCTGATAAGAAAATACCAAATATCCGCAATACATTTTGCCAAGTAAAAAAAGGTCTTAAAACAAATTCTGAGCTAACGTATCGCTAGTGGCTAGTTGAATGAATAGAGAGAACGTTAAAAAATAGCGACATAGTGTATAGTAGAATTATTTTATCATTTCCTCCATTACATGGCTTGAATGAGAACATATCACGGACATAAATCATTGATCCAAGAGCTTACGCTTCATTAAAGTGAATTCATTCGTACTAATACAGATAACCTCAAATTACTGAGGAAAAATCGTTGCTGCTGTCACGTCCCCTCCAAGAATCGAACCCGAGTTCCTGGTTTTACACACCATTGCGTATTAACCTATTGAAAACTCTACAAAACTTCTAAAATTCTAACTTACGTTTCGTTTTCACTGCACCTTCTTAAAATTTGACACCAAATTTTAATTACAGCAACAATTGTTATGATACTGGTTCCTATGGTATTATGGTTCGTAACAAATAAAAATTCATTTAACTTTACTTACTTTTTTCTTTCGTTTTTACATCATATTTTTTTATAGTAATTTTTTCCACCATCTAGTTTAACCAAACGTGTTCTTGTAGTGGGGAGACTGTTATTGATGATTATTGTTAATGTTTAAGAGAAATATTTCAGAAAACACAGAAGGATTAGTTAAAGAAGAAGTAAAAAGTATACTATACGTTTTTAAAATGAATAAATACAAAGAATGATACATTAAAAGGATTACAACAAAATTATATAGCAATATTGAATTTGTAGGCGAGTTTTGTCGTTTTCTGCTTAGGGACAACAGACCAATTTTAATCGATATTAAATGACATAAGTATTAACAGAAGACCAAAAAACATTGGGTCTTTTATCAGGTAGATTTGTTAAATAAAACTTTTAAAAATTACATAGCTTGTTAATATTTTTCTGGATGTTTACTTCTATCAGGTATGTTCTTTTCTTTCATCTGATTTAAAAAGGTAATTAAAAATTGAAATTAAAAAAAATTGACAGTCGTGATTTTGATGTTTTGCTACCGTCTTACAATTTTAGGTATTCCATGACGTAACTTTTTTTGGTACAGGAGCTGACAGTATTCCCTCACGACAAACAGTTAGATCATTTTACGTTTATTGTCTGTATTTATCATAAATAAAACTTGGAATTTGATGCATATCGCTACAATGTAACCTACATTAAAACTGCATTTCCTGGTTGATTCTCCGTTAAGTACCGTAGACTAGGCTGATAAGGAGATTGAAATTTTCGCAATTTCACGTAATTAAAGAGACGCCGACAAACAGACTAATCTGCGATGCTATTTTTAATGAAAAAGTTCCGCGTTTGTTCGAGCATATATTTTTTTTCATTATAAGGCCTCTTCTTTTCATAAAGCACGGTTCCCTTAGCTCAAACAAAGGCGAAACGGTTTCAGAAAAGAACAATTGCAACCTTCATGTGTTTTTTAAATACATGTATAAAAGATTACAAGTGATTGTGGGTTTAATCTTTATCAAAAACAAATATCTAAACACCAAAACCTAATACTAAGGAATATGATAATTTTTTCCTGGTCATGAGATTTATTGAACAAAGAAACTAATTTCAAACCAAATGTTTAAAATTTACAAGAATCACATATAGAAAAGGGAAAAATTAATGAGCGCTTTAAAAAAATGGGACAAACGTTAGTTTGTATTTAAAAAGAACAGCGTTTTTATATATACGACATTATTAAAACTAATTGAAGGGCCAAGGAGTTATAGAAATAATTATTGTCATAGATTCAAGTAGTTTTCGTTGTAGATATGTAAGGTTTACGGTTAATCGTGACTTATTTGTACAATAATAATTTTAACAATTTAACTTAGATGATATTAATAATCGAATGATCATCGCCGTTACTTAACATTGACCATCCTAGACATTATTATATACCGATGTGCGTTTATGTTTCTTGAATATCTGTTCATTTATTTAATTAATACTGACCAATAAAGATAGACTCGAGAGAGTATGTATTTTACAATTCAGAAGAACAGGTCGCTCGAACTCGACTTACAAAAAAGCAACTGACCCTTCGTTCATCATTCGTCCGAGTAGCAAATAAGTACGGCTAACCGGATTATATATAAGGGCCGGATAAGGCAATATTAAGGCTAACCGTTTTAAGGCGTTTTCTATTGGGCCTGATCCGGCATATATGAAAATTTCCATATTATGCATTTTATTTTCAGGTCCGGATATTCATTGCCTTTGGCAACCCGTTTTACGATTTCCCTTCCTTTTAAAAAATGGGCCTAATTTCATCAACCGGAATTAATGCATAANGTTATTTGCGATAAGCGATTTATTTTTCCTTTATAAATAAGAAGCTGCACAAGTCTGCTGTTCATTTCCATTTTTTCACTTCTTTTAGACTTGTGTTTGATTATTTGGATTTTAAAATTCCAATAACCTAATATTATATTATATTAGGTTATTACATATGTAATAAGTATTATAAAATAAGATTGAATAGGTAATGAATAAATTACTTATTTTAGATATTCACACTGAAACTAAAAATATTAAAATTTGAATAGTAGGTGTAGTTAATAGGTTGGTGCAAAAGTTTATTGAAGTTTATTTTTAAAATAACCTAAGATTTTTGCAATAATCTAAATTTAATGTTTAATCAGAAAAAATAATAGGATTAAAACAATTGTTGGAGATACTTATTTGTGAGTTGGAAATTTATTGGAAAATATATAATTAAATCTGATATTGATGAAGAATTCTTGACTGTACCAAACATTTTATTCTGCGACTTTGTACTATTTGATATAAGTGGAATAAAAAATATTATTGTAATCAATATATAATATATATTTTTCACTGATGGACAAAACCTGTAAACGTAATCCGGGCTGGATCTACAATCTTATTAGGTTCTAATTTTATTTCATTTAATGGGCCTAAATTTAATTTTATGTATGGACCTGATTACGACTTCTGTTCCGGGCCAGAGATTATTACTTAATACGGCCCATATCTGCCAAGGCGTTACATTTTAGATATGGGCCGTATCAAGTGTTTTTAGATATGGCCGTACTTCAAAATCTGGCGTACAAGTTTGGGCCATATTTCACCCATACTCTAAATGCTACTCGGGCGGTTAATATTCCCGACAACAATGCAGCTTTCAATCGATTGTAAATCGATCGAATGATTTCGTATGTACCTAATCGAAATATCTGGAGAGGATGCAATTATCGAAAGATCGATTATATTACATTCGAATGATCTCACATATAACGGATTAAATCTTAAATGATTATTTATATGCTATCTACTTTGGTAGTATGTATTTCTTTTTTTTTTTTCAAGATATTACCCAATTATGC